ATAATCTTCTAAATCCTGTTGAACATAATAATAACCAAATTAATTTTGTCATTTTCTATTAGCCTCTCCAGAGTCACTGTAAGGCCAAACTGACGAGGACATATGATAGCACTGATATGCTTCAGAGACTACAGGTGGTCAAGTGGGGCGGTGTGTCTCGCTACAATTCCATGTCAGTACTCCACTCAGCAGGTAGAGAATAATTGGGTGAATGACCCTAGCCACAAGTTTTCGTCAACAGTCAGAGAACGATGTTTATTAAAATACACAACAAACGACAACAATGTAGGCGACAACAATGTATGGCAACAAGTGGTTCGTAAAAACCAGGCTATGCATAGAAAGAAACATACATTGAGATTACTAAGTGTAGATACGTGTATTACTCAAAGAAATAAATATCAATTATGAGTCTTATTACATAAATACATTTCTGAAAAATACGTACAAGTGAAATTATGAAATAGTCCGTACATGTGATATATTAAGTTAAATCATTATTATTGACTTACAAATTGTCTACTTGATAATAAACCGATCCTTGTGCCTTTAATTTTCCATTGTCTTTCTACTGAAAAACAATTGGACACAACAGTTAGGATCTATATATTTACAATTCCATTCGATTCTACAGAATTAAAATGAACGCTTAAATCTCATTCACGTCTGAAAGCAAATTAAGATCACCATAAATCAAAAGTTAGAATCAATAGATGAAAATATGTAAAATGAATATATCTGGAAAAACCAAAGTCTGTACCCTATTGAAAATAAAGCAAATTGTTGTGTAATAGTTATTGTTTGACTAGAAATAATATTCCCACAGGGCAGTATTTCTGAATTATTTTAATAATTAAAGTTAAATTAAGACTTTAAAGTAGTCCGTCAACGATTGCGATTTGTGATTGTGAAGTAAAACAAACCGACTTCATAGCAAAACATTGAATTAGATCGTATTTCATACATTCTCCTATGAAATAACAAAATAGATGTTAGTGGATTATTAACAATGACTGACTGGACATTTTATCGGTCTGAATGATAAAACACTATATATAACGCTATTCTACTTACTGACAAGTGCTGCTCTTCACCACTAATATCGATGACCAGTAACAATAATAAGGCAAAATCAGATCGCATGTTTGCTGTAAACGCTGAAATTATAAATGATAGAAAAATTATGCATCAGTTGAAATGTTTGTAAATGTGGATACGTAATTCACCAACCACCATGTTATGTGCAATAAAATATTTCATCACCTTATTCAATTGGATACGAGATTTCAAGACACCGTGATCCGTGTCAATGAATAGTAGAGAATAATGTATAACTGGTGTGGTTATTTATTCAATGCTTTCGGACAGACTGGTGTTATTGATTGGCTCTATTAATAGTTTTCTTGTTATGTAGTATATTTATATATATATATATATTGCCATGACAACGCCTACCGGCTGAATTCTAATCCAGTGTGCTTGCCGGGAAGAATGCATATTTTGGTTAAAATGTTGTCATTAGTTAATTCGACCCACTTTGTCAATACTACGTCCAGCAAATTTATTAGTGCAAAACAAAATTGATTTGATGTTTAAAATGTTTCCCAGTCTATCTCCTTCTTCTCACTTCAATGTCAGTCCATGATCATAGCATTTGCGAATTATTCTGTAGAACAACTTAGCTTGTAGACCAGTGGCCAAAGCTTGTTATGATAGGTGAATCCACACATGAAGTATAACAAACCACATTCTAGTTTCGGTAGAAGAAAGATATATTTGCTTCGTATTTTGGTAAATTTTTAAAAATTTTAATTATGTTTATTATATTATAAATGTTAAAAGCATATGTGTGTTACCATGTAAGACTAAAATACAATAATTAAGTTAATCAAAGGTGACTAAATGTCTGTAATAACGATTATATTATGTTTTAGGTTATTGTAGATTGATATCACTTTCATAATTATTATGTTAACGGAATTTGTTCATGTTACATGAGTATGTGTTATGTCACATTTGATGTGACACATAGTCTTGTAGATTAAAACCATTTGTTTGTTTACTTAAATTTGAACAATGTATCTTTTGTACAGTTTCTTCACACTACTTTGTGAAATTTATCATATAATTTTATCAATGTTGGAAGCCATGGATTTTGGCCTTAAAGAGGCTAATCACTCTGATACAAAGAATTGCATCAGTTGTCTCATATCTATTTTACTTGAAAAAAAAGTGTTATCAAACTTTGCAAGAAGACCTTATACAGATGAACTGCCTCGGACATTCGTAATGATGATGTTTACGACCCTTCAAAGAGAATATTTTGGCCGGGAAGATCGGAGTAGCATACTATAAAGTAATTATTTGCAAGTGAATCAAACATTAAGCACGTCCAGAATAAGGAAATTGTCGAAGACCCTGGAATACCTCAACGTCCACAGACAGTACTGCAAAAAGGCATATACATCGAGAAAATAAATTCAACATTAGACGTAATTGTTTCATTTATAGCAAAATATCAAAGAAAGCGAAAAAGCTGACACAAATTGCTAGGTTCTTTCAGGTTCTGCAAGTTATGGTGATGAAGTTATCCTATGAATGACTGGTCATCCTGATGTATTTCCATTTGATGCAAGGTACCATCGTTCATTCTAAGCTGCTTATATATCTGACCGCAACATCAGTGTTGCACTAAAGAAGTTGTCAATTAACACGATGGGATCCGTATGATATTGTATTTAAAGATACTGTGGATACAGCTATACTGAGCATGTTATCAAAAAGAAATCAAGACAGGATGGTGTTCATATAACGTAGGGGAAAGATCAAACATATTCTGCTCTAGTACTGTCAGCATTGACGATGCTCTACTCAGCTCAAAACCATATTCTACATTCTGTACCAGGTATAATGAGGCGCCGAACTGCGACTTTTGAATATTGTAATGACTACTATGAATTTAGTACCACATGAATGCCACAGGGTCATGTGCTGATTTTGATTCTTGACCTGCTAAATGACTTTGTTTCATGGCTTTTAAATGAAAAGTTATACAACAATGTTTATAGTTGTAGTGATGTTCCTAAGAACAATTGTTGTACATTGTCTTTCTGTTATGGTATAATTGCAAATGTGCGTTCACCAATACCATTACATCTGTGCTATATGCTCGATATGAATATGGTCGCACTGAATGCATTACGCCAATGTATCTCAGATGACGAAGCTAGAAGGTTTCTTACATTGGCTGGAATCGGCATCGAATGGAATATATAAATTCAAAGTACACTACAAGAACCGCAAAATGATGCTATCCACATTGATGCTACTCAGATCAAAACGATTAAACATGTATGGCAGCTGTTTTGTACAAAAGATGTACATGTCAATCTACTCAAGTTTCTGGAAGAGATGCACAAAAAGCAATCAAAGCTACCAATGATGAAGATGTCTATTTTGTGTGTGCACATGTACATTGAGCCATCACAGCGTTCCATACCGATTTGTGTAAGTGACTCATGTATCAGTGATGCTTGCCACATATTTCGATACAATACTACTTCAGTAGAGGATACTCTTTGGAATCCATTAGATAAACCTGAAGATGAAACACTGAATATCTCACTATGGAAAGGCTTTAATTCTTTTATTCCAATAGGTACTTACCATTCATTTGATCCCCTTCTACCCAATTGACTACAATATACACAATACTTCTTAAACTGGTACAAATTGCAGATGAATTGGGCCAATCACACATCCTTGCTACAGCTGATATTGCAATCTGTTCAAAACCACTTGGCTTACAAGGTGCTGATTGGCAGTGATGAAGGTCTATTCTCTATACCTACTAATTCCGGTGCATATGCTATTACACCCGCTCTTCAAAGAAAGCAATATGCAAGGGTATTTTAACTATAAACTTGACAATGTAAACAGGTGATAAATAAAATTCTTAAATTAACTGGAGAATAATCTTGATATAATAGATACATAAAGAATTGGCTGAGAGCAGTCCGGGATATTCTTCATATACACTAAGTTATTCTTCATAATGACTATCTTGGTTGAAATGTTGTTTCCTCAATGTCGTCTTCACACTGGGTCGCATGACAACGCTGGCTTCAAAACATACAGACATATTGTGCACTAGAATTGGCATGCAGTTTAAACCAGCAGCATCTTGGATGAGATAACTGCGCTGTCTATATTTCAAATAGGAAATTGAAGATATCACAACATGAACAAATGTGAGATTTGTTCATATGCACATTTTCTAAGAAGAATAAGCAGACTTGTCACTTCCAAACAAAATAACACTTTTTTCCTCAAAATGAAAAAAATACTCATCAAAATTAAAAAAATTAGTGCATCGCCACAAGATCTGAGAGAAGTCCATCTGAGGTACCTATATGTATAACACCAAGGCAATCAGATTTTGGGTTTTAAACAAGAAAGCGAGGATATCAGTTTTTTAATAAACAACAAAAATATTCTTCAAAATTAGAGAATTGAAGATACTTGTTTACTGGTACCATGGAAAACGCCTGGCTTACATGCAAGTTGCTCATAGATAGTGGGACACACAGTGGGCACCAATGGCTTGCATGTACGTAGCAATTTTGAACCATTCCATATTGTTCACTGGAAACATGGAAAATGCCCGGCTTACATGCAAGCTGGAAGAACTGAGCAACAATAGGAACATTTTACTCTCCGCGTAAGGGAATTCGATTTAGATCTTTCTCTGAAATTAAGTCTATTAAAACATGCGCCTTTTCCACGTTATATACTACAATACCACATGGTAAATTAAAATCACGATTGATAGATATTGTTCATCAAGCATTTTTTTATAAGAATGGTTCTCGGCGATATAAATATATTGTTCTAAACTACAATTCCACTTATTTCGTCAAGAATGAAACTAATGCCACCACGTTTTACAGTGAAGAAGACATTGTCCTCATGCTTGAATATTTGATAAATAATATATTTGTTAAGTTTGGAGGACATATATTTCAACAAATTATCGGTATTCCAATGGGAACCAACTGTGCTCCCTTGCTGGCCGACTTGTTTTTATCCTCGTATGGGACCGAGTTTCCTCAGAAACTTGTTAGGAACAAAAAAAATAAAGAAGCTAAGTTTTTTTAATTTTACATGATGACTTTTCCATCAACAATCCTAACTTTTGTGATTCGCTCCCATTGATATATCCCACAGAACTAGACATTAGATAAACTACAGAATCAGATTCCTCTGCCTCATACCTCGACATTTACCTAAAATTTCACAAGAATGGTCATCTTTCTACTAGACTTTATGACAAAAGAGATGATTTCAATTTCACTATCATCAATTTTCCAAACCTTAACAGCAATATACCTGTTTCCCCTGCTTATGGCGATTACATATCTCAGCTTATCCGTTATGGCAGAGCATGTAATATGTATTCTGATTTTTTACAATGAAATCGTCTTCTCTGTTTTAAACTATTAAGTCAAGGGTTTATAAGAGAAAGACTGATCTTGTCATTTAAAAAGTTCTATGGCAAGTATAATCAGCTGGTGGACAAGTATCATGTTTCTATGAAACAGATGATAATAGAAGCGTTGGATATAAATTGTCTTGCACGGGGATGACCTAAAATTCACGATTGTGACACAGAGAGATATATGGCGGGTGCCACATGTGGAGCAGGATGTGCTCACTTTTTTTCGAAACACCTGACATCATCTCTCGGCTTGTGCCTTGAGGTCCATGTATCTCTCTCACCGATTTGACAGTGTGTTGTTTGTTTTGTTTGTGTGTCCCCTGTGTGTTCTCGGATTTGTAAATATTGCCTTTTGACATTGATTGTTTGGATTATAGTTGGGTATTGTTGCTTGGATTTTCCCTAGTTCAATTTTGTGATATATTGACAATTTAAGGTAGAGATGCAGTTTACCTGACAGTTTTTTTACGTAGTTAATTAAGAGACCAAGATGACCTCCCTTGTCCACAAAACTATACATTTTCTGAAAGCTTATTGTATGCATTTTAAAAACTACTTCGAGTTTATGCATAAATTAACACCCAGGCTAGTTGTCTGTACGATTGTTGTAACACTGTTCAACCCAAAACAATGCCCCGACGGCGTTTTGAAGATAAACAC